CAGCAAAGCCCAATTGGCAAGCAGTGGGAGGCTGAATGAAAGTCAGAAGCCCTGCAAGCGACATTTGGAACCGGTAGTGATGATTATTATGTCTCACTAAATCCCCTGTAGCGACACACTGTTAGGCGATATTAAAGGAAACGAGAGCAGAGAATTGTGTGAATAGGCAAATGGGCCATATGAAGTTGGGCTGAGAGGAGATGCAGCAATAGAAAGTAGTACAAAAAATAAGGGTAATGAGTGATGCCACAACAGAAAATTGGTCACTTGTCACGTTACACCTTTTACTGACGATGTCGGCAAAGCATTCAGGAATGTACCAAGTAAATGGTCCGATGCTGGAAATCACGAAAATTATGAGAGGACGCATGACAGGTACATTCCACAAGGCCTTACTGATGCTCTGACCAAGCTGCGAAAACGAGGTCAAAATGACACTAGGATCTCTTGTTTCATGAGTAGGTTTTTAGATACCCCAAATTGATATGATATAAGAGCTGTATTCACTCCATTTAATTTAAGGTGATGAAGGATCGGTAGTTGAATTTTCTCACAATTATATGGGTAGGCCTTATATTTCAGCTGAATTTCACATAGCTTTGCTTTCCAAAAGCTATTTTTATCCAAGCTGGACTAGACGACAGTTTGGACCTCGCCTAGGTCTCATCAGCACCCCCAACGAAACTCGAACCCGGATAGTGTAGTTCATAGTCACGATACATTAACTATTAAGACACACTGTCATGAGTTCCATTGGGTCATAGGGCAGAAGTTACTGGCAAGCAAGGCCAGGCATTTACCATACCATCATTTTTATGGGATTGTTAATGAAGTTGTAGTTTTAGCTACTATAGCAATAGGCTGCATTACTTATTTTATTTTTGAAACAGGCTTTCGAGATTCCCAGTAGATTTCGAATAAGAATTGTGCTCACCCCATTTCGTTTCGTTTCTTTCGTTGAAGCCCTAGTCTATACTGGATAAGAATACCTTTTGGGAGAAAGACTGGGTAAAATGCAATGGAAACCTAAGGCCTACTTATATCGACAAGTTCGTAGTCAATAGCTTATTTTCAAGCGATGCTAGATCTGCATCTAAGATAGTTGCCCCAACAAAGAGAAATTATCGTATGCATCATGTGTATTAACGAATGATTTACAACAAACCACAAGTAAATAAGAACTTCTTAAAATGATATTTCTGGTGGGAATAGGTGTCGATAAGTTGTGGAAATATGACTTCGTGTAAATAAGTGTAAAATACTGTCCGTTTGTTTAAGCTGTAGCATCATGAGGTTTCTCATTCCATTAGCAAGGTTTAATTAGCTTAAATGCTACTATTTCTTATGAATAATCTGCAAGGAGAGGTTAACAAATAACATGAATAGAAAAGGGTAACATGAAGGGAGTACTATTACCGCTTCCCTACCTGATTGACGGTGTTGGCTGCAGCACTAGTGAGCCCAGTGCCTAGAGCTAAAAATAAGCCGGTAGTCAAAGGATTGTTGATGAAAGCTTCACTGGCAAATGGAGTAGCTGCCGCAAGGGCATAACCTGCCAGTGCTGTAGTAACGACGAGGCTGGTAAGTCGGAACTTCGATAGTCCGGTGGCAATGGAAATATATGCAGCCTGCCAATCACTCCATGAGAGGGGTGGAATGGAGAGAGTGGCCGTGGCCAAGGTCGGGGCATGGCTCAATATTGGAGATAACGGTGGATCTGAGCCAGGTGATGGCTTGGAAAAGCACTCTGCGGTGGAAAAAAGCTGATCTGATGCAGCGTATGTGTAAAAAGTTGGTTGAAGCTGTCGTGGATATCCCACTAGACGCCACTCCTTTGAGGTAGACTTAGGTATTTCTAAGGGGAATGAACTCGATTTAACATCAGGCGTGTCTAAGGTAAAGGAAGTCGATAGACAAAAATGCATTTCAAAATATTACAAAAAATAAGAATCCGTCAAAGGATACAGATAGGTAAACATAAATAAGGAAATAAAAATATATCATTTAACAGTAAAAAATAAATTAATAAAATGTAAATACACCATCTTTCAGTGACCCAGGCCTTACCACGAAACTCCAAAATCTTAGTAGCTGTGAATAAATTTTAAAATGTAATAATTGGCATCAAAAATTCTTGAATATTATACCCAACATTAAAGCATAACCAACATTAGTAAATTCAGTCCTGTAGCGGACTGCAATGTATTAGATAGACATAAAATATGAGAGATACCTTTGAGCTGTTTGATG